TTTTTTTTTTTTTTTTTTTTTTTTTTTTTTTTTTTTTTTTTTTTTTTTTTGCACTTAGCACAATTTATATTTACATATATTAAATATATTTATTTTTTTAATAATTGATCAAGTTATATGCTTCTTCAGTAATTTTTTATTTTACCAATATATAAAGAAAGTTCTAGTTAAATCATAAATAAAGTGTGCTAAATGCAAAGAAAAAATAATAAATAATAAAAAAAAAAATAATGAAATAAAATAAATAGATAATATATTTATAGATATGAAATACTATGTATGTTCATGAATTTATTTATTTTATTATTATTGTTTTTGCATTTAGCACAACCTGTGTTATAAACTAAATATATTTATTTTAAAAATAATTTATCAAGTTTTGTGCTTAAGCGCTGAGCCATTATATAAATCTCTTAATGCATTTTAAAGGAACAACATTTGTGTAATTGCCCATTTGGTATTATATTTTCTTAAGCCGAAACTAATGATCAGTTGTCGTTTCATATCATTGGAACTCAGCCAATATAACTAATTGCAAACTGAAGCTATTTTTAAGCTTTGATAAATTTGATTTGTATATGATATGAAATTAACTTCCCGAACCTTGACTCTTCGTCTATGCATATATATTGTCGAGTTACGCAAAAACTCTGACTGCGTCTATTACTGTGACTGTGACTGTTACTGTGACTGTCGCTGTGACTGTGACTGCGACTACGATAGTGTGACCAGTGAGTGACCTCAAGCGGACAAATGCAATAATTAAATTTTCAAAGCATAAAAACAATTAAATGTATGAGGCAAACCTGTAAAATGCGCGTTGCTCGCGGATGAGCTACAATTTAACTGGCGGCTGGAATGGAAGACGACACCACAGCCGAGCCAAACTATCGACCGCAAGATTCGAGATTCAAGGTTCGATTGCTGCATAATCGTCGTGATTATGTGAATCATTATACAATTGTCCGTGAATCGGAGACTGATGGGTGATGGTAACGTTTGCCTTATCGAGGGTGTTGCTGCCTCAGATAATTAAACAATTGCCCATAATTTGTGCACGTTGATTGAAACGCCCCAAAAGAAATACAATCAATAAAAACGAAGCGAAGCGAATAAGCCCACATTGGCCACAGCAGGCCAGGTGCACAAGCGTCACTTGCCAATTACCCAAATATTTGCATTGTTCAATAGCTCAATTGTTGATTTTGGACGCTTAGCTGGGCAGCAACATCTTCTGACATTTGGGTCTGGGTCAGCGGGGCTGGACTAATGGCTCTTCTTTCAGCGTGTGGCATTTCCATCAGCCATTTCCCAGGCACTCGACTGGGAAAGACATCGCAACGTTAATTAACAGCGAAACGCATGTCTTTGACTTGGGTCAACACATTTTTGTCGCACGACAGCAATAACAGCAAGAGCAACAGCAACAACAACAACAACAGCAAGAAGAGTCTGAGCCAAAACAAAGACAGTTTTAAACGCAATCCGCCTTTTGAGTGTTTGTTTTGTTTTTGTTTTCTTCTCTTTCTGTTCGTGGATCTGCTGCCTACGCATGCGTCACGCGTCGTGCGTCGCTTTTGGCCTGGCTTAAATGTGCCGTTAGTGTTAATGGATGGTGGGAATCTGCCTCGGTGACAAGGTCAAGGATTGTTGCAACATGTGGGCGTTGCTTTCGGCCAACTTATGAACAACAAATTGAAAGGTTTAATAACCAAAGAGCCAAAAATATTTGCATGAATCAGAAATTTAATACATAAATAAGTCGTTGACTAGAGCTGTTCTCAAGGAGATCCAAGACATCATAGAGACTTTCACATTGTAAGCGAGACAATACCAAATATATTTAATTGTTTTGCATAAGAGAGACTGCAAATACTTTGAAATATTGCTTAAAAGTAAAATAAAGTATTTCTAAATAATTTGTTATCATTAAACAGACTTACCACACCACAACAATTGTATTTGTGTACGCCGCATTTTGTGTACTGAAATGCCTAAAAATAAATAGAAAGAAACAAACACAGAGAGTGAGTTTACAATTTGTTGCTCGCTTGTTAACAAAATTATGAATATTTATTGCTACAGCGCGTGGGATGCAAAGACGAAAACAAAAATCAAAGCAAATGTATAACTAAATAAAATCACAAACAAGGCACACGGACTTATTAGATAATGAACATGAAACAATCAACAAAGACACAAAATATATAATTGTGCGAGCGTACGCGCTGCATGGACAAAAATTCATTGCAAATTAATTACATAATGCGATTGCAGCAGTCAGCAGAGACAAGTTATAGACAGCTGGCGTATCTCTGCGATGCATATGCATAGATGCATATTGTATGTGTGTGTGTCAGATGTGCAGATAAAGCACAATTATGCGCAGGGCGTGGGTGTCATAGACTCGTGTAGCACAAGTGCCAAAGACTCAGTCAGACTAGCTGGCTGGGCCGTATAGATAGAGAGTCGTATAGAGGGACTCAAAGACTTTGCCAACAGCTGTGCGTTAAGCACTCCATCAATCCATCAGTCGGCTGGCCTTAGCTCGGACAAAGGCGTCCTACATGGCGTATGTGTAATAAAATAAATTCAGGCCTGGACGCAGGGTAGCAGTAAATGAGTCGAGCGGTGCAACGGCAGCTGTGCCATCTACTCAGTTAGTCAGTTACTAAGTCACTCAGTCAGTCAGTCAGACGCTGCAGACATTCACTTTGGAGTCGTTGTCACTTCCGTCAGCTCATTTTTGCAGCTGTTGTTGTTGTTGCTGCTGCTGCTGTTGCTGCTGCTGCTGCTGCGTACTTTGCATAATTTCAAATAATTGTTTCAATTTGCACAACTGCAAACAATATGAAGAGCGAGAGAGAGAGAGCAAGAGAGTGGAGCTTGCAACCGGCTTACCCAGTGACACTCTTTGCATTCAATTAAACAATTTTCCATGTTTATTTCTATTCATCAATTTCAATCTATTCAGCTCTTTGAATATTCTCGACGAGCACAAAATATCGAAATACATCTTTTATGTTCACATTAACATTAAATGCAGTCACATATGGGCGGGAGCGGGGCAGCGGGGCGGCGGGGGAGTGACTGTGGGTGCGGCTTTGCGAAAGCTTATTTGTTTTTTGTGTTTTTATTTATTTTTATATGCATTGTCTAATGGAGGCTTCTTTGTATTTAAATTAGTTGCCTGCCTTGGATTTGGGGTTCTTGTTTGTTCTCACAAATAAATTTATTTGTTTGTTGTTGTTGCTGTCTGCATTTCATCAAACACACAAATTACACAACAGACACACAAGCCCAAGACCAAGCACCTGGCTGCTGAATCAAATAAAACGCTTTTGAATCCATCAATAAATAACTGTACAATTTCATTAACTTAAAGTTCAAGCGTTGCATGCTTCTCTAATATATTTAAATTGATTGCCTCAATTGGTTTTGGCCACGTTTTTCAATTTGCAATTACCCGCCAGAGTTTTATTTCTTTCTGTCATTGCCAAGGCTCAGCCAAAGGCAGCAGAAAACAGAAAATTAAATTGAAAGAGTTTGATTCTTATTATTTTTTAGTTAAATTTTAGAATACGCTGAGTAATTTATATATTTGAAATAAGATTTAATGAAATAATCAAATTGAAGAAGATATATATAACTTATATGTACGTCAATTTTTAATTCAAAGATTGTATCCAATCAGTCTTAGCAAGCTATAAGAAATAACTATAAAGATCAAATAAAAGTTCATTAAAATTTGCATGTTTACATAACAAGTACTTGGATTTCTTTGCTTTGTTAATGATTCGTTTCGTTTTATAGCTAATCCTAACCGAAATCAATTTGAGAGTCATTCAATAACATATATTCATTACTTGCACTTGCCAGCAAATGTGTTTGCACAATGCGAAACCCGCCGAAGAAAACAGAAGACAGAAAACAGAAGAAAACAAGAAATTCAATTCAATCATCTTCGAAATGATAAATGGGATATGCCTGGGCATTCACATGGCGCGAGCGCCCGCAACGAAAGTGAAAAGAAATAAAAGATCAGCAAGTAAAAAGCGAAACATCCAAAGACTACAATGACAAATAAGGAAGTTGCAACTGCAGATATGAAGCGGCTGCTGCTGCTGCTGCAGCTACTGCTGTTGCTGTTGCTGTTGCTGGTGTTGCTGAATCATTATCAGTCGACAACAGCAGCGAAAAAAACTGTCAACAGGGGCCATGGCAACAGGTGTTGCTGGAGCGGCCATAAAAATAATAATAAAGAGACGCCGGCTCTTGGATTTAACATTTGGCCAGCCGAGAGCCGCAACAATCAGACAAAAATTTGTTCCGCCTTCAAGCACATGCACACACACACACACACACACATACACACTCGTATAGTGTTAGGTGATGCTGTCCAGGACGCAATGCGGGTGTTCGCTGCATGCATCGGCCAATCTGCGCTGCAGACAAGCCCGCCAAATGTCTGTTAAATCGTTTTAACCTTTTTGTCAAGTTGCCGCTTAACCTTTACGGCTGCTGCGCTGACATGAAGGAAGCATTTGTTGGTGGTCGGGCAAGTGTTGAAACGACACACACACACACACACACCCACACACAGTGCAACAGCAACTGATATGAAAACTGAGGCATCCTCCATGCTAAGCGAAAATATTTTGCTCGGCTTCGCGTTGTCTTCGTCTCGCCGTGCAACGTGTCGTATACGTGTTATTTGTAGTTTTGATTTATTTGTTTTGGCATTTTTATCTCGTGCACGTTGTTTATTCAAGCGAACCTTTTGCTGACTCTTTGTGTGCGGCCCGCTCGAAAACTAACGAGAAAAGCAATCGCTGACGACGCGCAAGCCGAATATTTAATACCTTATAGGTAGCAAACTGAAACTCAGAAATATTTAAAGATTTTATAAGTGAAATGACAGACGTAGACTATAATAGAATAGTATGTCATTTAAATGGAAACTTTTTGGGCATATTGAAAATAAAAAATAGAGATGGACTACCCTGCTTAGATCAACAACTTTAGGATTATTCAGTGCCATCTATTCTCATTTGAGGCCATCATCTTGAGAAGAGTAACTGAAGGTAAATGGTTTTCATTTCATGTTGTTGTTGCTGCGGTTTGTGCATTGTGTCTGCATATGCCAAGCAGAAATTTCACCTTTATCGAATGGCATGCGAAATGTGCACCTACTGCATTCACTGCATCGCATTATGAAACGGCAGCTGGAGGCGCGGGTCAGGGCATCGCTGACAATTCCTGTTGTGAAAATTGCATAAAATTGCCGCATCTTCAATGCAGTTGCCAAAAAAAAAGCAAAAAAAAAAAAAAAAACCAAGTAGATAAATAAATAAGCGAAAGATAATGTTCAAACCCGTTGTGGGAGCGTCGCTTGCAGCTGGTCACTTTCCTGTGACTAATGACGGAGACTACATCGGCAACTGGCCTGTGAGTCAGGAATAGTATCGAAAGATCGCAGCTGAACACTTTCGGCTTCGTTGCAGTTGGGCAAGTTCAAGTTCGTGTCTTAAGTCTTTGGTTTTAACACTTTCGAATAGGCAAGTCTATGCTAATTTGTACAATTAATTAGACGCATTGTGCGCCGCTGCCAAAAACAATGCAAATTAAAGTGCTAAACATTTTGATTCTACATTTTTTTCCGTTAGCAGCGCTTTAAAATTAATTGTGTGAAAAATATTATTATAAAGGCATAAATCGCGCCAACAACTCAACTTGCGCTACGTTTCCCAGACAACGGCAACAACAACATTTTTGAAAGTCTCAAAAATACAAACAAACAAAAAACCATTGAGTCTACTTTGCTCAGTTTGTTTTTGGAGAGGATTTTGCAAGTTTCTAGCAACAGCTACGAGGAGAAGAGCCAAGAGCCGAACAATTAAAAGCTTATTTCTTATTGGCATCATCTGGCTGATGGAGCGAACCCCTGGACAATTGTGTCGCATTTGTTGATATTGTCTTCTTCTATCTGAATTTTCGGCTGTTAAATCATTCGTTTGCTTTGATATTTGCATCATTTATAATTATAATTAAGTTGAATAATTTAACGGCGAATGTTGTAACGCCTGTGAATCGGGCTAAATTGTTGCTGTTGTTGGGTTATTAACGGCAAAATGCGGCCAAATACGGTAAATCAAGCGCATAGATAACGAATGAATGATTAGGCCAACAACAACAACAACAAACGTTTAATTACCTCGCGATCTGAGACGGGTTTCATTTAAATTAATGCATTGCATTGCCCCCCTTCAGGCTCTATAAACACAAATGAGGAGTAATGAGCACTTTGGCGAATTGAAAAGGGAACGTGATAAAGAGCTAAGAATGCTATTCGAATACCACATTAGTTTAACCCACTAAACAAACACTCTTTCCAAGTAAATCAACATGCATTATATACATTTTTCGTGCACCTACGAGTTCAGTTGAGGCACAGCACCACCACAGCACCACCACAGCACCACAACGAGGGAAACAAAGTAAGGTGTGAATATGCGTCAAACTGCAGACCATGTACATTTTGCAATAACAAAACTTAGACAGTTTTTTCTTGCCGCGCTCTGAAGATGCGGCTAAAGGCCGCCAGATAGGCAGCTAGACAGACAGCTGGACAGGTGGACGGGCTCTGGCTGCTGGTGCTCAGCCAGACGATGTAGCCGCTGCGATTGCTGATGCGTTGACCTACGTGCCACAGATTCACATGCTCAGACAGACGCTCAGCTGCTCAGCTGAGATAACTGTGGTGGCTGCGGTTGCCGCTGCCTTTGGGCCAACTTCACAGTTTTTGGACATTAATGTTTGCAGTCAAAAAAAACAAAAAACAAAAAACCCAACCACAAGCAACAAGCAACAACAAATATGCCCTACGGGGCGGCGGCTACGATTGCATTTCATAGCCGCCAGAGTTCGACGTGCTAATAGATTTTGAGGTCATATGCAACAGTTTTTTTGGGTATTTTTTTTCGGCCAGTGGCTG